GCACTTTGTAAATACCAGATATTAGTTCTTCGCTGGGGTCCATCCATCACTTACAAGTGGTCAAACAATCTTGATGCCCTTTGGGTAGCACACCTCCCTGTCTTCCTCCAAGAGGGACACTCTGAGCCAGTGTAAGGAATGTGGCCAGAGCCAAGCTCACAGAGTTTCCCCAGTTCCTCCTCTTTACTGTCATGCATTTGCTTTTAAACTCACAAAGTGTTCCTTCGGGACAAAGGCATGTCAAGAACCTGTGAACTGCCCTACTCCTTGAGCCTGCTCACATTGATTTCCTTTTGCCTCTGGCTCTAGTACATAGCATTTGATCTCTGATTGTTCATTAAACTCACACTCTCATTTTTAAATGTCCAGAAAGCAATAGGGAAAACTTTTCCTTCTTTTATTCCAGGGCTCAAAACAAAATAAAAAAAATACCTCTGGCATTAATTTTATACAGGCAATTGTCTTTACAATATTCCTATTAGCATGTTCACATGCTTGACAATATTTCAGATGGTATTAAAAGTCCACCTGCAAAAAAACCATTTTTCTGTCAGGCTGGTGCAAATTGCCAGAACCTTTAAGCCACTCTTCCTCAACTTAGCAGCAGTATATCATCATTACCTGTGGCTGAACCAAGAAATCACATTTGTCAATGCCTGAATTGCTCTTTTATTTTCAATGGTCTTAGAAGCCCACTTGTTTTGGAAATGGAGTTAGCTGAGTATAAGTTAGGGGATGCAAAAATACAAAAAAAAAAAGCAATGGCTGGAGATTTGGGGGATATTTAAGATGCTTTATTTTCTATGGCCAGTTGATCTTTGCTAGACCATCTTGTGAGGCCAAATGAGATATAGTCATCTTGAACAAAGACCTGGTAAGATTCTGTGATCATGGAAGCCTATCAGGGAACCAGTATGCTTCCTTTTGGTCATTAAGAGGGTTTAATCATATTAATATTAACAGTTGAAATAAAATGGATGTTTTTTATATTTCAGCTTTGCATATACTCTCTTATTAGTCTACACTAAGTCCAATAGTAAATTGAGAAATGGGGAAACCAAGGCTAAATGACTTGCTCAAGGTCACACAACTAGTCAATGGCAAAGTTAGAACTGAACACCAGATTTGTCTCTGGATCCCATGGTCTTAACTCTTATGCTATTTTGATTATAGCTTGGAGAAAATTTGTATGACTTCTGATGAAGTGATGTATGCTTAGACAAATAAAGTATAAGAATAATGCTGTGCTGTTTTCAGTTCTTCACTTGAAACAATTTTTACTCCTTTGGGACTGTTAACAAATTTAACATCCTCAGATATACTGATGTCTATTGGGGAATATATTCAAGGTTCAATTTGCTTTTCTTGCCTTTCTTCCTCCATTTCCTTTTCCTTTTACCTTAAATGGATTCACCCAAATGTAGAAAATGTGAGGTAGTTCTGCACAAAGGTGCTAGGTGTATGAACCAGTTGGGCTTTAGGAATTGCAATTCAGAATGTTCTGCAATTTGCAATTATGTAACTCCACAGTGCATAGAGTACATGTCTCCAGGTGGTGAAATACTTGATAGCAAAGCCGATCATCCCAATGATAATGACCGTAGGAAGCCAACTATCTGAAAAATCTCAATTCTTTACCTCAAATGGAAGAGAATAAACAGAAACACAATACAACACACACACATACACACACACACATATTTTAAGTTGAATATACTGTGACTAAGATGTTTTCCAAGATCCAGTCCATGTAAGTGAATGTCAAATTTATACAAGTAATTTAAGAACTATTTGAATATCTCTGTACAATTGAAGTATCTCTCAGTGTGTTTAAGAACTTCAGTCATTATATATTTGTTGAATTAGTGACACATTTATACCTCTTTTTAATGTCATTATGACATAACTTCCCATAAAGCCATTCTTTCATGAATACAGCTTTATTTTCTGTTAAAGAATTGATTTCACTCTTTATTTAAAATTTCATACTGGTTGGTATATGAAATGTACAAATGAATGTCATTAAGGATTTAACAAGAATATATATGAATTTGATGAGGTTTGTTCTGCTTTTGGCGTAGTCCTCTGTATGAATTCTCATATGCTGAAGGTTGTTTGCTATTCAATTAATCTAGGGAATGGGGCTCGGGGCAAATGAACTCATTCTCATGCACATGTTTCTAAAACAGTTCTTACTAGTGTTTGAGATAAATTAGAATAAAAACCAACAAGAACATGAAAAGAGACTAAGAACAATGTTAATGGGGCAATTTAACCCAATTTGGTTTTCCAAATGACCTTCCATCTTTCACAACTATTATCCTTAGTACCAGATGCTATCAATCTGGTGTTGAAAACTTAAAATATTTTTCTAAATGTCTTTAAAGCTAAGGTGGAGAAGAATGACTCTCTTATTTTTGGAAGGGTCAAAGGTTAAATTATGGCTATGCTGTTCTCACACCATATCATTTATTGATCAACATAATTAACCCTTTTTCTAGCCTGTGCCATGTACCAAAGTGATTTCCAATGGTACTTTATGTCTCAAGAGAGACTAGGTGGCAGGTATAGGTATATTTCAGAGGGCCAAGAGCCCTATGTTTTTGAAGGGAACAAATCAACATAATTAATTAATTTGGTTCAAATATAACCCTGGCAATTTGGATTTTGGTTGCTTCTAGTTCTGCCTTGCATGTTACTAAGAATGTGTAGCTTTATTTTTATTATTAACCTCACAAGACATTTCCACTGTGAGTAAATATAGTAATGAAGGTCATGGCTGTATTTAATGTTATAACCAAAAATGATAGAGACAGAAAACCGCAATGTAACAGAATTTATTCAAGGAGAATCTGGTACAATCCAGTTGTCATTTGAGTATAGTATTCCATTTAAGTATAGTTTTCCATTGTGCTTAAAACATTAGAAGGTGAATGACACTCCTCACCCTCTCTATTACCTGTGGGGTAGAATTCAGAGTTAGTGATGTAGGTTCTTTTCAGGAAAGTGCATGTTTCTTTTCTGTAGAAACATCAAAGAATTTACCTAAATTTATTTCAAATTAATAGAATTCTGGGTTTGCAGATCTACCAGGGAGAACCATTATAATGATCAGTAATCAGTAGCTATATTAACAGGTAAAACTAATTTCTCTCTCTCACTATGTGCCTACTGAAACACCAACAGGTTAAGTTGCCTTGCCTGTCACTCACCTTCCAGTTCCTTTTTTTTTTTTTTGGTAAGAAATGAAATTATCCACTGCAAGTCAAAATTATTAATTGTTCTTTCTATTCACGGCAGTTTTCCTTTGATATGCTAATATGTTATGTTTTATGCCACCCAGAGAGGACTCCATAGTATAGGCTGGAAACACATCCATAGTTGCCTCTTCTGTAGCCTTTCTTATTTTTTTTTAATTTGAGGGTAGAATGATGATGAGTAATCATCTTAAATAATTTGTTCAATGAAGAAATGAATGGGGAGCCAATAGCCCCCAGTATCGCTACCCTTTTCCATCCCATCCCCCCATACATGCAAGCAGAATAAAGGTCCTAGTGAGTCACACATGGATTCTTCTCAACTGATGATAATTCCTATATAGAGATGGCCCTACAATTGAAATGCCATGCATGCCTCTGCTCACTTGGTCTGATGCTATATTAAAACTTAATATTCTTTCTGGATTTCAGACTTCTTTGTAAATTGTTTCCAAGCCACCTGTTTTGAGATTTTTATTTCATTTTTTAATATTGGTAATTTGCAGTGGAGTTCCCTAAGTTCCAATATAGTGCTATGAATCAAAAGTGATGAATTACAATTCCCTAGTTTCTGCAAGATCAATGTGAGGTTGGCTGACGAGACAGAACAGTTCCCAAAGCATGGCTTCATTATTTTGCTATTTGAAGCATATTCATTAAGGGTGAATCTCCACAACACCACTCTCCAAGTCTCTCCTAATTAGAGAAACCATCCAGGAGTAGCAATAACAGTTACCAAAGGAAGAGGGGGAGATGCTAGTCATTAAAAGCATTATGTTTTAGCCTTGAAACTAATTAGATATTTCATGTTTGGAAGAAGTGTTCCTAACAGGCTTTATGAATGAATGTTTGTTCAGGAAGAGATTCTCATAGAAAAAAAGAGAGAGGGTGGGAGGGAGAGAGGAAGAGAGAGAAAGAATGGGAAAGAGAGGGAGGAAGGACTAGGTAAACTTACAAGTCAGCATCTCTCATAGTAATGATTTTTAGGTGCTAAAAATCTGCATAAGCTATATCGTTACACTTATAACTGCCTTTATTTCCAGATATTTATTTGGAGTTCCTCTTTTTTTAAAATATGTAATGACCTGGGACAAAGAGAGATCTAAAGAGTCACCTTTACTCCCCTACCTATTTAACACAGATGAGGAGGTGCCTGGATATCCTTTATGGAATTAGCCATCTCCCTCACACATAAGGGCTGATTTTGTCGCCTTTGGCTTCCCTCTGCCAAAATGTACAACTGCTGCAGATGCTTGAGAAGTGGAGATGGGGGAAGGACTCAGCCCAGGCTTCTGAGGGAGATGAGGTAGAGTGATGGTGGAACATGCATGACGGAGAGGATGAGTGTCCCCTGTCACATGTGACATTGATCTGGCAGGTGAATTACTCACAAGTCAAAGAGATCCCCATGCCTAAACTGGCCTGGTTACAGTGTGGTTGGAATAAGACAGAAAGAGTGAAGATAAACCTATTTCTGTAAGTGGCCATACCTTGCACTGGTCCCAAACCCACGCCACATGGCCAAACCATGGTGGAGCACAGCATAGCCGAAACTAACCTGACCCCCAAACCTATCATCCGAGGGCAGAGTGACTTCAACTCCACCTCTACTAAAGATAAATTGAGATAAATTGATATCTATCTCTAAAAACTTCATAAAACAAACCAAAAACCTAGGATGTTTTTTTTAATGACTTATTGACTTTTCAGATTGTTCTTTAAGCTGTTTTTTAAACTTTAAAGGCAACACTGATAATGAACGCTTCCAAATGGTAAAACAGAAAATCCCCTTCAAATATAACCGACCCGTAGAAGAGTGGCTGCAGGAAAAAGGTAACCGTCGTTAAAACTTTCATTTTAAAATCATTTGATTCTAAACCCTCATTTTTAAAGCCTGCAAATAAATGTTCCTTAAATGATAATCGCCTGCTGCATAAATGACTGTTTTAATTTTCATTATAATTTGTGTCAGCTTCCACCTGCCATATGTTGATAAATCATGCTATAATACATTGCCATTAAAATACAGTTAAAGGGACTAACATCTAGCCTGCTATCAGCATGACAGCCACAAACAAGAAATTTCAGGAACCTCTAAAAAAAAATGTATTATGGCAATTTAACCACTGCATGACATTATTTGTTAATTTGTTTTAAATTACCTCTTACACTGAAGCTTTCTAAAGAAATTTCAAAAGTACTTTTTAAACTCATATCTCGAGGCTGTTTTGATTTTCCTAGTTGTAGCATGGTTAACCAAAAAACCATAGATCCACTCTTAGTAGCTTAAACTGCTTAAAACAAATGCTATAAGGGAAGCATTGTGTTTTAACGTTTGTTTTTAAACAAAGAAAAGAATGAATTTTGCTTTTGCATTCAAACCTGCAGAGGCAAAAAAAAATTTTGTTCTGTTTTATTTTTTTTATAAGAGATTCATTGCATCCTAGTTGCTGACAGAAACCAAAAACAAAACGAGGTTGCTTTACACTTTTGTTGTGTGATACCTTTGTGTGTTGAATGTTTTATGCAACGAAAGTGTAAGTGGTCAAGAAAACAAGTTGAGGAAAAGACTGTGCAAGGCAAAATAGCAGTTTCTAATTTGCTGAAGGAAACAACCACTCAATAAAAGAGGGCAGCGGTTATAACTCACATTAGAATTTTCTGTGTGGCTTCTCTTGCTTAGGAGATGAACCAGTGTTTTTCAATGAAGAATATCATCTATCTCTGAGGAGCTATGTACTTTATTTTTTCTTGAGCTCTCCTGTCTCAAGACCTCAACCAAGCCCTTACAATTTGCAGAGATTTGATGGACTTACATATGAAGAGCAACTAGGGATATTATGTGGTATGCAACTTAAGCAACAAGAACTACTGCAGCTTTAAGATGGGTGAACACATTCAGACCTTTAAAAAGGATAATCCTCACCAGGTCTTAACTGTTTGCCCTGTTTTGAAAAAAAAAAAAATGTGGTCTAATTAAAAATAAATTAAGAATAACTCTAAAAAGCATATAATAATTTTGTTTAGTAATCACCAGCTCATAAAGTCCCTTTAACATTAAAGACAATGACTGCCTCACTTTTCGAAAGGAAGGGAGAACTGGATGCATGTCTGAGTCTCATGTGCCTGAGAGAACTTTTTTGTTTCTTTCAATTTTATGTTAATAATATTTTATTTTACTCCATTGCCTTTTGAAGTCTAAGTTTAATAGCATGCCAGGCATTTTCATTTGTATAAATCATTATAAATTATTAGTAGACTTTGAGTTTTTCTTATGATAACATCATTATCAGTTGGCTTTCACTTAGAAGGATGCTTCAGATACCCAAATTGAGGGTTGGGATGGGGGAGGCGTGGTTGAGGTGGGAAGGAGGGAGGCATCCTACCTTCTTAATCAAATATACATATGGGTTACTGTATGCAAATAATATTAAACAGGCTCATTTGCAAACTGAGGTTCTCGTCTATCAGTTATTTTCACTGGTATTCCTTATTTTTTCTAATTTGGGTAAGTAACATCTATTTATTCTATTACTTTACCTCTTCCTCTGCCTAGCTAACTTCCCTTGCAAAAAGGATAGAAAATATATACTGAAAGACCTTGTAGAGACAATGAATATGAAAGGTAAAGATGGAAGGATGATTAGACAAACACTTCAGGAAGTACTCGGAATGTCTCTGGAATTATTTCTATCACTGGGGAAGAGATTTGGGTCATAGCATTCCCAAGTCTGTTTCCGGCTCTGTCTACTATTGACTGAATGTCTGACCTTAGACGATCCACTTAACCTCTTTATGTCTCAGATTTCCCATCTGAGGAGAGGAGAAATAATACTGCCAATTCCCCAAGGGTGTTCTGAGGTTTAATTAATTAGTCTTTGTGCAACACTGACTGGAGACGTGCAAAGATTTAATTTAAGCGTATGTGGACTTGATGTCGAAATGAGGTAACAATTAATGACTTCCAAGAAGATGAGCACCTGAAACAAAACAAAAAGTCACTCCTGTTTTGATATCACAGTCATAATTTCACAATATTCAGACTAGAATGTGTGTGTGTGAACACACATATGTATGTATGGTGTATGTGTATGCATGTTTGTTTATAAATGGTCATCTAATAAAAATTGATCAGAGGAAGTGAAAACAGTGTGTATAATGAGATCTGCCATTGCTTTTGAGAAATCCAGGACAAATGATGAAAGGCAAACTTTCTTGTCAGTCCTTCCCATCCTTCATGGGTTCGCATATTAATGACATTTCCCACTTATCCACGAGCTCCTGCTTAGCAGGGAGAGAGAAGTCAATCAGAGGAAGGGTCAGTAAGAAACTAAGTATGTTCCACTCTTCCTTTAGGGATTTCCAGCTTTGCCATTGAAGTCCTAACCCAAGGTACATAGGGCTAGGAGAAGGTTTTAACACAAAAAAGAAGAGCAGATCTTGCTAAGAGTAGACCATAAGACAACTAAGCAAAGAGAAACCCCCACTTTTCCAATGGTGTGAGGGGAAACTAAAGCACAGGCAAACTCTTCTTTCTCACCCCCACCCCAAATGACTTTGTTTCCGAAAAGGGATCAGTCAGAACCCTCTGGAAAAGCAGTGTAAGCCAACAGTGAAGCAGCTATTTAATCTTCATGTCCCAAATCATGTCTTGCCTTTCCTAATTCTTGGGTTAGTCTCAAATAATCATAGATCACTTTATGGAGCGAACCATAGCAAATGGATTGAAGGTAATCCATCATTTCCAGCCAATTTAATTCAGCACTAAATTTCAGTTTCCTCTGGTCCTCTTCTTATTTGTAAGCATTGGCAGAATGAATACTTCCAGGAAAATAAGTTGAGAACCATTATAGGGGTTATCATTGTGAAGTACTTTCAAGAATATTAGAATATAGAGCCTTGAACCTATGATCAAGGCTACTCAACCGCTAACTAATCACCAGTGCTGGATTTTTATGAAAGAAAGAGAGAAAAAAAATATGAACAGGCAACAGCTGTGTACATGGAAGAGCTACTTGACCCTGGGGCCCTCTAGGGTAAGACATTTCACCCTAGAAATCTTCTGTTAATCAGCTTCTTATAATGTTTAGCTGTTTCAAATGCCTATAGTAAGTTTTGGGCTCTCAGGAAAATCTGTTGTCAAGAATAAACCATAAAGAGATATGAACTTTGGGCCATCACTCTCTATTACTATACATGATGCATGTATATACAGGACACTGAAGGAATTGATTAGGAAATAATGGAGATCTATTAGCTTTGTTCTAATTGCACCCTGCTATTGTGGAGGCCAGCAAATGCCCTTTCTATGCTGCAGAGATTTTATAAAATACAGCAGAATATTCTCACTGTAATAAAGTTCTCTGATCAATTCTTCAACCTCCTAAATGGGCATTATTTATAAATGATTCTTGAGTAATAGGACTTAGGAGTTGCCCCAATGAGCAAAGTTGACTCTTGTCTGAAGAGTACCCTCTGAGCGGTACATACTTACCCTTCTCTGTCACCTCCTTGTCTCACATTAGTGTACAATGAGAAGGTATTCCACATTACACACCAGAAATTCAAGATGGCATAGCCTTTAAGACTCTGTGATAGTGGTAGCTGTTAAGATTCCAAACATCAAAATATAATACTATTATATTTTAAAAATATAAAAAATTCAGAAGGGATATATCTAATTCCATTAACAAGTATCTTTTTTTGTTCCCTTTCTCCATATGAAAAAGCACAAGGAACTAAGAAGGCCTTAGCATGTTGCTGTCATGATAAATTACAATGAGTTTTCAAAATCTTTTTTTTTCCCTTCTAGGAAAGATCTAACTTGAGACATTTTTTTTTAAATAAATACAAATAGTTGGGAGTAAAATTTGTTCTATGATTCCAAACTCTATTCTACCATGATTTTATTCTAATAGTTTTCTTTCAACAGAATTATAAATAGTCCTCAAATAGAAACTCTAAATAAAGTAAACCACAGATATTCTTCATCCCATTAATATATCTCTATATCATTTAAAGAACTTTATGACTCACTTTCTTCATAAATACATTTTTAAAATTCACTGATTCTAAAGTTTAGGAACTTTATCAATGCCTACTTATTTTCCATATTTTAGGGAATTATTTAGTTCTATGACCATACCTCCAATATAAAAATATTGGTATATATAGAAATGTATCTGCAATTATATTGTTAAACAAAAAAATATTGGCAGGATATTATTCACTAGGAAATTGTGTATTGGGCAACTATTAGAATGTCAATTTTTTAAGTATGCAATTAATCCATTTAATATGGATTTAATTTAATCATCAGGCCTAGGTTTTTAATTCCTTGCTCCCAGTTACCTCACTGAGTTTTTGTTTGCCATATATAATTCCTTTAGGTTGTAATGTTAATTTTTACCTTAAACAAATCAAAGCTGTAGGCACATATTATTTTTTCTAATCATTGCCTGATTTGGATATTTATGTTATCCACTTTTTAAATAAATAGAAACATTCAAGAAGACTTAGTTATATACTCAAGAAGACTGACATGCCTCTCATCACTGAACAAAGATTTCTTCATCCTTCAAATAAAAAATAAATAAATAAACACCTGATGGTTCAGGATTTTCAGATAGACAGTGGAAGAGATAACTGTAATGAAATGTTACTTGCCAATGCTGACATTGAATTTTGTTATCCATTTTCCCCTTTCATTTGCTGAAGGAAGCCTGTTTTGTGCCTGATCCACTCAGACCAGGCAAGGTAAGGAGAGAAAATGTATGGGAATAATAATGTTTCCTCCACCCAACCCACTAGGCCGGCAGTTAACCATCTTCAACACCCAGGCGCAAATAGCCATTGGCGGAAAGGATAAAGGACGCCTCTTCCAAGGTCAACTCTCTGGGCTCTATTATGATGGTTTGAAAGTACTGAATATGGCAGCTGAGAACAACCCTAATATTAAAATCAATGGAAGTGTCCGACTGGTGGGAGAGGTCCCATCCATCTTGGGAACAACACAGACGACCTCCATGCCACCAGAAATGTCTACCACAGTCATGGAAACCACCACCACAATGGCTACTACCACAACCCGCAAGAATCGCTCCACAGCCAGCATTCAGGTAAGCCTTCTTCCAGGTATTAGTTACTTCTGTACCTTTGCCTTTAAAACCTTACTATTGTGGTCCATTTTCTATATAGTTAAAGATATTGAGTTGTTATGTTATAAGAAAGATGCCTGCAGATGCTCATAATAATAAGATCCAGTAGTAGAACAAGATGAAGTCACTGGTAAAGAAGTTATAAAAGTCTTTAGGCACTCCTAGGTTATTATTCCTATCATATTTTTCACTGAAATGGTAAAGCTGTTATTCAAAATGAGCAATGAACTACACTTTTAGTATGAAATACTCCCTCCTCTCATTTTATTACCTTTTCTTTTCAAATAGCACAAAGGGAAGAAGGCAAAAGGAAAATTTGTGATCATAGAAAACACTATATCCTAGCTCAATTCTGTTCACATCCTCCAGATGGCTTTGCTGGAACGTGAATTGTTCATTATTGGGGCCAATGGGTACCATTAAATCAAGGGCAATTGGAGCTAGAAGTTCAACTAATCCTCATAATATGCAGTCTTTGTGTTTGATATTAAGTCTTGATTAATTACTTGTCATTTTTCGGTCCATTTTGTTTCCTTTGTATTTAACCAAGATACTAATTACATTAGAAAATGTGAAGGTTTGAATTTAGCTAGGCAGGAAGCCCTTAGTTTTGTGGTAAGGATTTTGTTTTTTCACTTTAAAGTAATTATATCCAAGCTAAAGCTTAATACTTTGCTGACTCCCTTGGCATTTCATAAATCTAGTTAGTAGAGGGTAGGAGGTTAATCGAGTTATTAGCTTTAAATGCTCTGGCATAAAATAAGACATTCCAATTACTAGTGGTGAAATCACCCTTAGCCTAGTTAGTGTTCATAGAAAATGTAGTAGATCAGTACTTGTCCCTTCTGTTTCTTAGTTTTTAAGACAGAATCAAGGAGTCCAACTGAGTCTTTGACACCACCCTTCCATTGACTCTGATGGACATTGTCAACTTCGTGTTAACCATCAATTAAACTTCCAGTTTTCTGAATTAAGTATATGTGAGCTGGGTAGAGATCAGCACGTTCTCTTCCCTTTTCCTTTTCTTTGAGCAGAAATTCAGATACCTCCTTACCTGACTCCATAGGAACAATTTGAAGCTGTACATGCTGATGATGTTACCAGTCAATTTTATGTGTTTTCCAAAGGTTAAGAGTAGCAGTCTTATAATCACACGTGCTGTTGCATGCATACCTATGCACATGCTGGAAAGAGAAAAATACTGCTTCTCTGCCAATATTAAAGCAATAACTCCTGACACCTCACTCCACTCACTGAAAAGAAGATAAAAGGCAATATATATTTCTATTATGACTCTCTATAGCTCAAGAGTAGATCTGTTTATTGTTGGTGAAAGGATAGTTCTGTTTGCACAGGACTTGGCAGACTTGTTTTGCTTCTGTCAGAATACATTCTGCTAACTCTGTGGGAAGCAGAGGAGCAAATGGCTTTTTCTTCGTAGGAATGGCTGATCCTGTAGTCCTTTTTAAGGCCAAATTCTCACTGACCGCGGGAGGATTTAATCTTACACAGGGATTCAGGGACTAAGCCATGGTAATTGTCGGTTTTTGGCCTTCCCTCCTGTGGCAAATACATAAATGGGAGCAGATTGGGTGAGTCCCTAAACTCTTTCTACAAACTAAGAAAGTCAAGGATTTGGATAAAGAGTGGATTTCAAAGTGCAGAACTTTTGCAAGTAACCTGGAGTCTCTTGGAGGAGGTGGACATCTGGAAGAGCCCCCTTCGACAGCTTTTCTCTGGTGTGTTTCTCTTTTCCTTTGAGTCCAGTAATAATTGAGTTACATTTACATGCCTTTCCTTTTACTTCTACCAAGGCCATAAAAGTATATTATAAATCTATTGACACTCTGTTTTTAAGGGTGTGTAAACACATATCCTTGGAGGAAAGCCAATAGCCTTGCAGCATGGATTAGACTGGGGTGGGGGACAAAAGAACTCTGGGATTTTTTTTTTAAAGATAAACTAGAGGAAATAATGCTGAGCCAAGGGTTTGGGACGTTTTTTGCTCTTGCCAACGAGCCATAAGAACTCAACCATGTGCTTCACAAAAACTTGAAAACCTTGAATCCAAGCCTATTTTGGTCTTAAGCATATTCTATAGATCACATCAAGCCTAGGTTGGGACTGAGGACACAGAAGCCCTTGGAATCAATCCAGAGTTTAGGACAATTCCAGGAAGACTATGGAGACTTTGAGGGAGGAAGGTCAGTTCCAAAAGCTTCAATTTGCTTGTATGATCTAGCTCATTTTCTTGGATGAAGAGGTCTCATAAAACTCTGATCTCAGGGAGACATTTTAGAGGCAGGGGGGAAAAAGTAGGGAAGATTGGAATTCATATTCACCAGATCCATCATTCATTTTTCATCTGTGTGAAATCACAGAACATTTTCCAAATGATACTCTATTGTATCCCTCTTTTGCTTTGATAATATTATTAAAGCAAAGTTGTCCTAAAATGAGTCTCTTCTGGGGGAAAAAAATAAGCATGTGAGCCTGCAAAAAAAAATGTGGCTATTCAAAACCTATTGGTTCCTTCTTAAAGCTAGTACTAAGAAAACCTCATTTGAGGAGTTCATTTCTGGTGGACCTTGCCCATTGTTGATTTCAGATCAAAGGAAACCTGTAAAGTGCTTTCTGTGCTGCTCTTAACTGTGTGAGAATGTGAACAAGTAGTTCTTAAGCTGATAGAGCTCTTCAATGCTCTGGTCTCCCAGAAGTAATTGGTGCTTTGATCTTTCTGATATTCTAGTTTGCTACAGTCGTGAGTGTAGAATTGCTTGTGAATGACATGGACTATGTTAAATTATTCAGGGCTTTTGTGTCCAAGCATCTGATCTTAACCCTATACTAAGAAGTATCCCTCTTTGTGCTCTCAGAAAAAAAAATTAAGGTAAACATTGATAAAGAAGGTGTGTGTGTGTGTGTGTGTGTGTGTGTGTGTGTGAGAGAGAGAGAGAGAGAGAGAGAGAGAGAGAAAGAGAGAGAGAGTTCTCAAGTAAAAGATCTGACACTTAGTACATGTTCAGGAAATAAATACTGAATAAACAGAAATCAAAACAGGTTTATTATCTACCTTACACTCATTTGACAACTGAAAGGAGAGTAGCTTGGAGAAAATTTTCCTTCTAGAATAACCAGGGTCCTTGCACATTTTCTCCCCACTGGTTAGGCTATAGCTTTATGATCTAGAACATTTATGTGGAGCCAGATGGCCTGGTTTTAAAATCTAATTCATTCTCATATTAGTTAAGTGACCTTGAACAAGTCATAGGTTATAGATAACTATTACTAAAAAAAAAAAAAAAAAAAAAAAACCACAAACTTTCCCATAACTGGGTGGCTTAACACAATAATCAGTCATTAGATCTCACAATTTGGTGGGTCATGAATTTGGCCAGGGTTCAAGGAGGCAACTTCTCTGCCCCTCAAAGTTGACTGGTAAAGTTGACTGATAGCATTCCATGGCTGCTCTGGTTTGATGGGTCTGGCTTCCCTCATACACCTTGTGTCTGATGAATTTACTGGAAAGACTGGACTTGGCTGGGCTATTTTGCCTCTCCATGTCTCTCCTGCAAAGTAATCAGTCTTCCTTCAGGAGGCTCAGGGCCCTAGAGAGAGTGTTTCAAGGGACAGGAATTAGAGGTTAGTTATTTCTAGCCTGAGTCTGGGAAATGTCACAGTGTCACTTGTACCATACTTTATTGGTCTGCTCCCAGGGCTTCTCCAGGTACAGGAAAGGAGATACGAACCTCACTTTTCAACAGGAGGAAAAGCAAGAATTTGCCTTCAACCTAAGTTGACTGCATTGTAAAATGGGGAGGGCACAGTGTCTATACCATCTGGTCATTGTAAGGATAACAAGATGAATATAAGTAAAATGTTCAATACAAGTATACCATGAAGAGTGAGAGTGTAGATGTTTTAGCCATTCTTATTATGTTCTATCCTCTACATTTGGTGGTTGAGTCAAACAAGAATCTACCTCGGAAATTGGCGTTGCTTCCATTGACAACAGTAGCTATAGTTCAGACTGGAGGCTACAAGGTTTGGGCGACATAGGGATTTGAAGGAGACTCGGGGAAAAAATTTAGAGGCTGAAATTAGTCCTGGAAAATCAAAAGTATTTATGATATCAGCAATGGACTTCTCTGACATCTCATTACCCATCTTGAAGTTTTCTTCTATTTTTAAACCAAACCGAGAGTTCTATGGGTCTTAAAAAATAATGTTTCATTATGAAATCTATCTATTTGCACATATTTTGGGGATGGCAGAGAATAGGAATCCAGGTCCCTTTTCATCATGGATTTCATAATCTGTAGAAGGCTAGAGGGCTTGATATTAACCATCAGTATGGGACAGTGACATGAATGGTTATGTGTATTGGGAGTGAGAAGTAGCATATGGGATGGTCTTGCCAGATCTCGTGTATAAGGTGGGTATGGACCTGGGCCTTGTAGGATGAATACAACTGGACAGGTAATAAGGGAACAAACTCTAGATTAGCCAAATATCAGAAGCTACATTAAGAAAGTCAGAGAGAATTCCTGGGAAAGAGAGCAATTCTGGTTAGAAATGACAGTGCATAGTTGCAGCGTGTGAGGGACAAGGGGTCCAGCTTTTGAGAGCTTTGGCCTAAACCTCCCCCAAACAGATGAGGACCCAGAGGCCTGAACAGAATGGGATTCCCTATGGGACTTACTGCTGGGGATTCCCAGCAATTGCACAAGCTCATTTACTACAGCTGACTCAGGTATGGGCCAGCCGCTACAATGACTTTGATAGATCAGCTTCTAAAATGGGAAAGTCATTCAGGAGAGAAGGGAAAAAGTGAGAAACAAAAGTCTTTTCCCACTAACTTTCAACCACGACAACCTAAATGTTCCCACGTGGAGAGGAAAGGGCCAAGAAGAAACTAGTTCCAAGAATAATGTACATTCTCTTATCTTTGGCCTCCAGCC